GGAGGGGAGTTAGAGAGAGAGAGGAGAGAGAGAGAGAGAGAGAGAGAGAGAGAGAGAGAGAGAGAGAGAGAGAGAGAGAGAGAGAGAGAGAGAGAGAGAGAGAGAGAGAGAGAGAGAGAGAGAGAGAGAGAGAGAGATGAATAGTAATATTTAGCAATAGATGACGGCTGCTATTGCTAAGAATGGCTGCTGGGAAGATTGTGTTGTGCATGGTTGGTAAGTTCCGCATAAAACATTGAACAATATTTAACCAGTAAACAAACCGACTGTCATATCTCCACCAACTTTTTGTCACATGCCTAACGGTCTCGAAAGCGAGATCATTAACCACTTCCCAATCTAACCCGATAGCTTAACGTCCCAGCGTGAAGGCCTACTCACTTGTACCGCCATTATGTGTCCACGCTTATCACTAGTTTATCGACAATACTGGCTTGGTTACTAGCCAACGCACGCAGCACCCCACCATTATACAATCAGTGAGAGTGAATTCATCGCCGGTCTCCGAGAGGGTCGTGAAAAACAGAGGCACGAGCTGCTTGAACATTCTACAACGACCGCTGGGGTAGCGGAAAGGAGAAAGGCGATGGGGCTAGCGTTGAGCTGGGCCAGGCTTATTCGAACATGCGCCAGCATAGACTTCACTCGGATTTGTATGTGGATACTGGATAGGGCTTAGTATGCACTATGTAGACTTTTAGCTATTCCGTCCGGTTACCCGTTCATTTGACCTGCATACTCCGAGACACAGCCAGGTTTTTGTTTGCTCGTGAGGTGTCAAGTTGCCTCAGTGGTCGTTTGGTACTGGTCAGTTCACGCACAGTTAGGTCGGGTCGGGTCAGTGCAGTTATGAGTTAAGTGTGACACTGAGATAGTGCATTGTCTCATTGCCACACATCAATGTAAATCATAGTTCAGATATCGTGGAGACGTTGTGAATGAGTATTGCACGAGCCTGTGAGTAGTGATTACAATGCCAAACAAGTGGAACAGGGAATGGGTACAAGCAACTGTGATACTGATAGCTATCTGACAGTGTCAACCGTGTGAATGACACAACAAGGGAGTTTGAATGGCTCTCAAGGATAAAAATTGAGCATGAGTCAAGCTAGCGCTTCTTGCAAGCCAATCAAAACTCTAACATGCAAGCTGTTCTTCATCTATCACCCTTTTATCATCATTAAATGTCCGTCCAATTACTGTCCATGGCACAATCCCACAGATCTCATACCCAAGTTGAACGACAGACCTAGCCAGCGCTCCCCCTCTCTCGTCTCCTGTCCAGCCGAACCCCGCTCAGCACCTGTCCGATACAATCTCAGCGCTGCCGAGGGTACTAGACCGGTAATAAATCCCAAGGCTGACCACCAGACTCACTGTTCGAGTGGCCAGCGCCGACCTTGGATGAAATACCACCCGGAGAGGGGGATTTTTTACTCCGAGATGATAGCTCTCAGTGGTTGTCCTGAGAGGGATTCACGGCTAAGGGGTTGCATTAGAAAAAGGTCGAATTAGAACTGTTTGAGGGAGAACAGGGACTTTACATGTATGTACCTATTACTGTATTTCAGCGATGTAGATTCAGTGATAAGTGGGAAGAAAACAGATAAGATTAACCCTCACATGTGTAGGGGGGGTCGGATGGACCCCCCCCCCCCCCATGGTTTTTCGCGAATAACTCGCGTAAAAAGCGGCCGATCGCGACGAAACTTTCAGTACCCTCGCATTGATCAATTTTACACCTACCCTGTAAATTTCATGACCCTGACCCAAATGACCTCTGACCTGTGACCTCTTTTCCGAGACCATGTTTGGCCGGAATCGCGATTTCGCGTATGTCGGCTCGCACTAGCCGCGTGTTTGCAAGCTTTTTGTGGTTTCAAACGTTCAAACATGTGATTTGATGTTACTCCCGTGTGTGTCAAGGTCACCTGAAGGTCAGGTCAGGTCATTGACCTTTGGTGACCTCGGGTGACCTCGGGTCACATTTTCGAGTTTTACATGTTTCTAGGCTAGTTTTTGGAGCTGAATTCGAATTTAGCAACCATTTGAACATTTACGAAGTAGTTTTGGTGACTTCGTAACATGTTACGAAGCTGTCAGAGGCGGTTGACACGTACTACGATTACCCGTCACGACGCCTACTGGTTGACCTGACCTGACCTGACCCGACCTGGTCTAAATGCTTCAAGACATCATCTGTGATCAAAACTAACACGATATTCGTGATCAGCACCCCGAAAAACCCCTTAGCAGCCACACTTTACGACTTTCTAACAGGTCCCGATTTTCCCGACTTTGGGTCATTGACCTGACCTGGAAGGTCAACCAATGATCTAGGACCTTAAAATTGGGTATCATCGGCTTCCTCTCGTCACGGGCAACACGCTCGTTTTTTCCGCGAAGCTCTAGCTCGATCAGGGGCCAAACGGCAAGGGGGGGTCCAACCGACCCCCCCCCTACACATTAGAAGCTGGCAAACACCGCACACATGCGAGGGTTAAATTATGGGCACCGATGACCTCAGCAGTGAGTAATCCAGGTGCCAAGAGACCCAAATGATCAGTATTATGGATAATGTAAATTGAAAGCCATTTTGGGTTTTGGAAGCAAATTCATGAACGTTAGTGTATTTAAATACTCTTCCAAGCTTTGACAGGTGATAGTCGTCAATATGAACCTTCGCAGGAATGACCTTTGCATCGGCGCCGAAGTAAGAGCATAATTATCAAGCGACTGGTTACATAAGCTACTTTCAGAACAATCACTTACACTTGCTTTGTTCCATTTACAATCAACACTTAATCTCACCAAGTCATGCATTTGTGTGCATTTAACTGTACCCCGCCTTACTTGCTACATGACCACGGCAACTTCGTTTACCGAATCACGACAAACTCGCAACAGCTGTCCAAACAAAACACGACACAGACAGCCAGCGAAAGTGCAAGTGGTGCACCAACCACCCCTCGTGCACAGCACACCAATCACCATGCACAGGAGTTCACAAAACATCCTGACCTCATAAACCTTCGTCGGTGACGGGACCCGTGTTCACGGATGACTAATAGCTTCCTACGATGAGCGGCTGGCGCCGTCAGCTGAGCTGGCAGTCAGCTGGCGCGTGATGACGTCACAGGCACGGCTGCGGCTGCCGGGGTCAGGGTGTAAGGTCAGGTCAGAGTGGCAGTCAGGGCCGCAAGCTGCCAACTCATCAGGCGCAATTTGTGGTTAATTTGAGAATTCGGGGAGCACTTGAGGTGGGTATTCCTAGCAGGCTAGCGCCGAGGAAACGGAAAACGAGGCTGACATGTGAGCAACTTGTGCTTCTGAGAATCGTTTAAGCTTTGTTCTCTGTTTATGGTGCCTTTCTGCACATACGTATATTCCTTCCTTAGGCCTTCATGTAAGATGAAGCCAATAACGGAGCATGCCTTGAGACAAGGTTCATCTCTTATCACTTATGATTTAATTGACGTCCTGAGATGTATGTCACCAAGTCCTTGGTTTGTGGGAGAGCTGCTTCGCTGCTGCTGTTGTATCCACAATAACAGGAAGTCAGAGTTAGGGGAAGTGTGGGATATTTGGAATGAGGGACAGGGGAGGGTTCTCATATATTATCCACAGGAGCACACATGACCGATAACAGATGTTTGCATGTGCGAGGTGTGAGAATGACATATTGAAACTTGGGTCAAGGATGCTTAAACGCGAGTAGTTTTGGAATGGCGTTTCTTGAAGCGCTGTGTTAGTTGCACGGCAGTTTTCAGGGCAGACTAACCTGATGGTGCCTGCCCAGACCCCAGTCATAAGCTCTAGAAATCCCAGCAATAAAACCTTTCCATCAAGCTTGATGACTCATTAAGCTTCTGTTCATTTAACCAACAACCTCACCCGGTTGCAGTGCGCGGGAGAATCTAAGAAAAACGCGTGAATTATGTTTCGTTTAAATAGGTGCTGTGATGGGAAACTAGACCATTGTATGACGCAGAATGCATTTGCACTTTACGTGCAAGAACAATGGCTATGACTAATTTAGTCGGTGTTTTGGCCGTTCTTTTTTTATGCCGCAATTAAACGCTACTCGCCTTCGTTGTGAAGCTTCTGAATTCTGAACACAATGATAAATCCAGCAATTGTTCATCAGCAGTTTTCCATTTCCGTTGAGACTAAAGCAACAGAGAATCATCGTAAAGTGCTTAAATGCTTATTTGCTAGGACGGAATGAAAATTGCTTGAGAATGAGTACCTTTTCCATCTAGCGTTTTGTGTAAAAAGGGGTATCGAGCAAAAGAATGGGGTACGGAAGGCGTACCCCTGTCATCGCATTATGTCTATTGTCCATCCTGATTGTATTTTGTCTCTTCTTGCAGACTGACCATCATCAAAAGATGAAGATGATCGAGGAGGAAATATCAGCTGACACACAGTCACGTGACCCGGAGAAGACGTCACGTGACCTGTTTGGTGTGCAGCTGGAGGTGAGTGATACATTTTGCGCAATTAGGACAAACGTGGCGTAATGTGTGTGGGTTCTAATGAATATTATTCATAATTTTTACACGTAGGCTGTTTTATGCTTCTGTGGGGTGATGAGTCATTACTCACTCGTTAGTAAATGTGCATAGAAAACGAGTTCAAAGTGATGTCATGTCACCAAGAAGAGTCTAATGTTTTGAAAATGGGACTGTCAATGTGAAGGGCGCTCCTCAGCATGTGTGTAGGCGTGAGAATCTAATGAACCGTCAACCCTCGCGACTCTTCCAAGAGAAACAAATTCTGGAGGCAAAACACGTCCTGATTAAAGTCAAGGTCTACGACCGTCGGATTTGGTTCTGCTGTCACGGCGCCGTTCCATTTTTGAGCTGTCATAAGTACGATAGTTATCGATCCACAGCGATGCCCCAAACAGAACTGGTATCTGTTTGGCCTGTCCGATACGTTCGATCATATTTCCAGCTCCCGTTCTGTAAACTGCGATACGCTTCTGTGGTTTTGTCCTGTTGCGATAAGCGGAGTATTGTTGTTTATCTGTTGTGATCGGCTTGTCGTAAACCACCGAGGACATCGTTCCATTCATTCTGTCATTCCTTTTTGGAGTCGGCTGCGATTGGAAGCGTCCTCGCGATTGTTTTGTATGACTGAATTTGGCGCAGAATTCGTGCTAATTGACAGGTGCTAGTGTTCTGTTAATTCAAAGCCCTTGGGGATAAAACGACCTGTATGTTTTCTGGGGGAATGAAATCGAAGTAAACGTTTCATGCATTTGAGTACGAACATTCCTTTATACATTTTCCTTATGCTGATGTCTGTCGCAAACTGGCAAGTGTAAAATGGTCATAATGTAAGTGTTGTTGGAGCATCTTGCTTTTAACTTATTCACTTGCACTGGTGTGTTGTTGTATTTTGTCTTTCAATTTCTATGTAGCGTATTATTCAGCCAATTGTTGTCATTTTAGTAAGCCATAGTGCATCCTTTCAAAATGGCATCAAATGTCGTGTTGGCTTGCGTGGTGTTTTTCATAGTCACACTCACCACACTCAACTCCCAAATGCTGGGTCAATGAATTCCTCCTCTCCATAACACCACTCCCTCTCTCAAATTACGTCATCTTTGGCCATATCCGGCTCCGGCCTCTCCAATCGTCTCATATTACGATGAAGACGTCAGTCATGTGCCCTCTTACAAGGTGATACGTTACATCTCCCATGTCCTCACTCACCTGAAATATCCCATCAGTCACACCGGGCGAACATAACCGGGTCCTGCCTGTGTGTCTGTCTGTCGGTCTATCTGCCTCTCTGTCTATGTCTGTCACAGCCTTTCAGCTCTCTCTCTCTCTCTCTCTCTCTCTCTCTCTCTCTCTCTCTCTCTCTCTCTCTCTCTCTCTCTCTCTCTCTCTCTCTCTCTCTCTCTCTCTCTCTCTCTCTCTCTCTCTCTCTCTCCCTCCACCATGTACCACGCACATGAGAAACGCGTATGTCCTCTCTCCCCTCTCCCCACACAAACCCGGGAAGAGTAAAACTCTAATCAGTGGCGATTACAGACGCCTCAGGCTCTGCCTGACAGCTCCAGTGTCAAACGCTGTGCTCAGGTCGTTATAGATGCAGCGGGTAGGTTGGATTATACCCGGGGAGGAGCGATCAAGTTGCCTCAAACATGGTGATGAGATAAGGTGGTGGGTGGTGACTGTCGAGTGTTGTGGTTTCGTGGCCTTGATTGGGAATTTCAGTGAGTAGGGTGTGATGGATTCAACGAGTGGGTTTGTAAACAAGGGCAGCTCAAAAGCCTGATAGGATAGGATGAAGCCTATTGGAAAAGCTAAGAAAAGGAAAACACGAAATATGAAATTTTGCACTGAGTTGTGCTTCAATTGTAACGTTGTGAGGTAGTCACACGCATGTTTGTGCTTTATTAAAAACCAAAGCAAATTTTGTTGGAAAGGTTAGCACTTTAATGCTCAAAATTTTCATTCAAAAATAGCCACGATTTTGTAATATGTGTGTGAGTAGACAAGAAACATGTAAATGTGTTGAAACACCGCTACGTGCCTTGCATTCAAGTGTTTCATTTCGTCTACTGCGACTCAAGTAATCGTTCGATACAATTTAAATGCAGACTCGGTTCTCTTAACAGCCGCATTGACATTCAAAGCATGACCAGTGACCACTAGGGTAATTTGGGCCCACGCATGATCCCAACTCATTTGTAGTGATTGCTTGCAAAGTGCACAATCACTGTCTAGGAGCGGTTCGGGTCCTTGAAGAGGGTGGTACGCTGGGACTGTGAGCAGGATGCAGATTGGGAGAAAGGATCTGTCTTGACTTTGCAATACTGAGCTGCTTCAAATCGATTTTATATTACTGTTGGCATTGGTGATATTCGGGAGACAATTGGGAGCTGTCTCTGTTGTATTGAACTTTACACGTTATAGTCATCAAATGAGTGTTATGTCATGTTGTGAATTGTGCTGCTCCAGCTCTACTGTGCTAATGTGCGGCAACCCTTAGTTTCCCGGTCGCCTACTTGTGACTTATGTTATGTGCTGTGCTTTGTAGCATTATGTAAGAAATTTTGCTGATGTGCTGTACTGTGCCAAATCTTACGTGCCGTTCTTTGTTGTATTGTACGGTGCATTGTGCTGATGTGCTGTTATTTCCTCATTTCACTGGTCTTCTTCTAGAGGCTAATGTAATGTAATATGTATGCTGTATTGTGCTGTGAATTGTGTTGATGTGCTGTTATTTTCTCAGGTTACCGGTCTTCTCCTAAGAGGGTGCTGTGATGTGCTGTGTTATGTTGTGCTGTGCATTGTGCTGATGTGCTGATATTTCCTCAGGTCACCGGTCTTCTCCTGGAAGCCGAGCGTCGCCGGCTGGTTCTTCTACAGGCAGAGCTAGCAGTGACGTCACAGAACAGGACCAGCTTCAGCCGCAAACAGCTGGAGCAACGGCAGCTGCTGGACAGCATCAGGTGGGTGATGTCACTGTGACGTCATCACTGCTTGACACAGGAGCGAGCTGCTCCAGGTATTCAATAATCAGCCCTGTTGACGGTATCATTTCAATTTTTTTTTAATGATCTAAATGGTTTCTGATTCTATATTACAGACAATCGGTATTGATTATAGACTGCATGAGTTATCCTTATTTAGGGGCATTATTTCGTCGACACTCAGCTTTGGCACAACAACTAGTTTTATACCGTGGTTACTGTAAGGTTGCAGCCAATGAATGAACATGCCCTGCACTGCAATGTTGCATGATTTGGGGCGTGGCCTGAACACCTTTTTATCGATCTGCGCTCGGGTCATTTCTTATGGCGATCGCTTTATCTGCGGATAACCAGGCACGCCTTGTTGCAAATTGGACAAATAGCCTGTCGATAGTGATAGATGGGATGAGTGTTGCATATCAATCCAGGTCATCATGCATGTTAATAACGGCAAGGAATATAATTAGATAAATAAAAGAAGTTGACCTTTTCCTCGACATCAAAAATGTAAAAAGCCGAATAATATATTTAAAAAACGGTGAGCTTTCGGCCACTGGCCTTTATCAAACCAACGTGATTTGATAAACATCACGTTGGTTTGATAAAGGCCAGTGGCCGAAAGCTCACCGTTTTTTAAATATATTATTCGGCTTTTTACATTTTTGATGTCGAGGAAAAGGTCAACTTCTTTTATTTATCTAATTATATTCAATATGTTCCTCGCTCGAGCACTTAGTAATATTACCAACGGCAAGGAATAGTTAATTTCCCGGATACCGAAGCGTGTTGCATGAACTGGACAAAATTAAAAAAAAAAAACAATGCCAAGTTATAATGCCAACAGCTTTATGGTGAAGATGTTTTCTCAAAACATAAATGGACGATCCTTAGGCTTTTCTTTTTTTGTTCTTTTTTTTTTTGCTTTGTTCAATTTTTTATGTAATGACAATTAATTGCATTTGTTGATTTAGACATCTTGCACCGACAACTGTCTTTCATATGTTTTCACGTTAGTCATTACATCCGGTCGTCAAAATTAATGACGTCATCCTTGCATCATTTAGTCTCAGCGTCGCCCACTTCCCGCAGGGAACCTCACGCAACCCTCTCTAACATTGCATGGCCCGCCTACCTACCGCAAGCTAATCTAAATGCGATCACTGATCTATAAGATCGGTGCCTCGCATTGGTCAGCTCTCAAACGACTATCAGCTGACCGCTGCAGCAGTCAGCTGACTGCGACAGATCAGCTGACTGCGCTAAAAATCAGCTGGTCCAGATGCCGTGCTCTTTAATGGGGACATTAGCACGCTAATTATGCCTTTACTGGATGTTAATTGAGAGGTACTCCAGACTGTCCGTACGTGGGGCTTCTATGAATACCGTCACCAATTGAAAATTGCGCCACCAGTGGGGGTAAATGGTAAATGAAAGCGTAACGACCAGCGTCCAAATGCCCGAGGAAACGAACGTGCTCAAGGGTTCTGAACAATTACGATGTTGAGAAACGTAAGCGCTTCTTCTTAATGTGTCCATAAATTGTCCCTGCTCAGGTCATGAGGGCATAGCATGACCAAGCAACCGACTTTGGACATGGAGGTGCTTGCAATTAAGTGGTATTTTATTTGGTCATAATTAAGTGAACAGCTAACCGACGTTTTAGCCGCAAGGATGAATTGCCTAAACGTCATTTTCTTACTATCAAATGTAGAGTTCTGCCATAAATCCTGGCCTTAGATGGACCCGATTTCGGGTGACCTGACCCAGCTTGAGCTACCTCACCAAATCTCATCTCAACTGGCGTAACCTGCCCTAAAATGGCAAATTTGACCTGACCTTACCTAACCAGACCTGTTCTGATGGATACCTAGCAAATGCCAAAGACCACAACACAAGTATTGGACATCATGATACAAAGCTAACTCCAATTGCTCTGGCACACAAACGTATATAGCCCCATGCTATACACTCACCTTTTTTGCCTATTCTCGATTCAGCCACAGTAGCCAACAAATCAACGCACCGACACGGCCCCTTCCCCTCCCCATCCTTTCACTCTCCGAACGGTACGGGGGGGGGGGGAGCGATCAGCTGAGGGGGAGGGGGAGGGATAATTGGGTGCGCGCTCCCTGTAGTGTGCAGTGGAGATGGCATCTACTGGGATCGGTAGTCGACGGGCTTCCTTAGAGAAAAGAGAAAGGGCTCCCGATCGGGAGAGAGGGGAGAGAGGAGGGGGTAGCCAGGAAGAGCAAAATGGTCGGTCAGAGTGTATTGAGGAAGTGTAATCGGTTCTATGGCCGTTGTGTCATCCGTGAGTCGATGATCGCTGCAATTACGCAGGTTTATGACGTATTCAATTGGCTCAGTTAATTTGAAATGGTGGCATAAAAAGATTTATGTTCAGAGCAGAGATGATGCCTCTGAGGCAATGGCGTTGACATTAGCTGTAATTCGAGCAGGAAATCGTTGTTTGCATAACGGTTTCTTGTTTACCTAATTAAATCAGAAAGCAGCGACATGTCATCTGATTTCTTCAGTATCTTTTGACAGGCCACTCTATCTAAATCATGCTCGACTTTTTACGGTCGACCAATTATTTCTTAACCCTCGCCCATGTAGGGGGGGGGGTGCAACCCCCCCCTGAGGTTTTTCTTAGCTACACGCCGAACCGTTTCAGATAGCCTGCTCAAATTTTCAGGACCCTATGGGGCATCCTTTGCGCAACTTTTGGTATTTTTTATTGTCAAGGTCATGTCAGGTCACGGAGTTATGACGTCATAAAGGGAACAACCTCCGGCCAGATTTACGCTAAATTGGAGATTGCTTCACATTGGTATAAATGCCGACTGACCTGACACACTGATGGATTGTTTTAGAATCATAACTGGCTGATTTGACATTGGCACAATGTCCTTTGACATTTTGAAGGTTACTAAAGGTCAAGGTAAGGTCAGTGACCACTGACCTCGGTTGACCTGTAATGACTTCTTGCACTTGTATGCCTTTTCGGGGTATTTTGATGCCCTGAATTCGAATTTGCTATCCATTTCAGGCATCGTCGGTTGTTTCTTGTAGTTCATTTTGGGTCAGGGTCAGGTCAGTGACGTCACACGCCTGACGTGACCCAATGCACAAATGACCTTGCAGACTTCCGATGCTCCCAACGCATCATTTTTAGAGTTATGACATCAAAATACACACCAAAATGATAGAGAATTGATCAAGGATCACGATAGTGAAGGTTTCAAATCGATATCTCTTACCGTTTTGCCGCAATCCGCGCGGAAATCTGAAAAAGTTAGATTATTCCGAAAATTTGACCTTTGACTGGTCATAAGTAGGTCAAATGTTGACCTAGGACAAAAAAATATACCACCAATCGCGAGATCTCGTTGAGAGCAATACGTTGGTCTTTTCCGCTAAGCTCTACGATGCTCCGTTTTCAAACGCCAGGAGGGGGGTCGCACCAACTGCATGGGCGAAGGTGGCAAAACACCGTTTACGGGCGAGGGTGAACATGCCTTGAAATATTTTGTCGCTATCGAAGACCTATTGCTATAAAATAAATTCCTTCGTAAATCGGCATTCATTCCCACCGATTATTTCAAATTGTTCAATAATATGTGTCGATTTCAAACAACACATTTCCCAAAATGTGTCATTCCTTTGCTAAGTTCAAAGCTCCGGTGTTCATGCTACTTGAAATTCCTCCCTTCCGGTCTCGCTGCGTTAGTGCACTTCCTGTGACCTCACGACTAGTCACGACTGACCCCCCCAACCCACCCCACCCCCACCTTGGCTCCAGGGACTGGTGTCCCCCCCCCCCGGCACGGAGGAATAGGAGGGGGTGTGTTGGGGCGTGGCTGTGTCACGAACCAAGTGTGATGATCATCAACCGATTATCAGCGTTTATAATCGCCGGCTGGAGTTACTTACGATATACGGATACCCAAAGAGAAACCTATAGCTGTCAGCGGCAAATGGTGAGTGCGGAGATAAGATTGTGGCTGGTTAGCGATATCTATGCATTGCTGAGAAAGTAAGATATATAGTGAATTTATCGTCAAGGGCAAACTCTGACTGAGGAAAGCGAAAAATTAGCCCAAGCTCATATCCCAATCCCATATGACGCGACGTAAGGATCAATTAACAATTTACACAAATCATATTCTCCTACCACATAATTCCTTACACTGGGACTGTTGTTAACGTTTTATTTTTCCCGTTTTTTTTTTTCAAGCCTGCTTTACGGGAAAATAAAGTTGTATCAGAGCTCAGTCTTCACGAACATAGTTATCCAAAGCAGTGCAAGATTTCTCCCCCACACGAGGCGAATACCTCGTCTGACGTCTGCTCTTCCTAAAGAAGACCCTCAACTGGACAGCGAGTTCTGTTCACCTTTGACCCCAAACGGCTGCCCTCAGGGTAGAGGGGGAGGGGAGCCCCCACAAGTGCCTCTGCCTCCGACAGTCAGGAGGTGCCCTGTCTGTACTCTTTCGAAGCCTGACTCGAGTCAGTCGTTTCGCTTGGCTTCAGGTAAAATATGAAGTTGAAATGAGAAAAGGAAAACTTTTTTGGGGACGCTGAATCCTGCTCAGGTAATTCGCACACCACCCCAATACTTTTTTATTGTGACGATGTTTTGAGGGAAGTTAAAGGTTGATTTTTTTGCATACATCACTTGGCGCACCAAAATATAGACAGTAGACACTTTAGTTCGAGTCTTATACTGTGTTACAGCTTGTGTGGAGCAGGCCAGTTCAGTTCCGCTCTCTGCGTATCACAAAAACACTAAAACAAAGGCGTGGTCGGCTGCCCCACCTGCCACGTGACCTTGTCACGGCGTGCCGTATGGAGTCACGTGACGGGCAGACGAGTGCCGGCCATTGTAGGCCAAGGTTGGGAGGATGGCACGCCCAAATGTCACGTGATAGCCATCGGACAAGGTGAGACGCTTTGTGAGCAAACAACTATGACGATACCAGATTTGAGAGAGAAAAACGTGATGTAACCATGCGCTAGACCGCACATAATATGGCATAATATGACCACTGATTGGGAATGAGTGACACCTTTCGTTGAATGGATTTGAATGGAAATCCAGTGGTGTGTGTGGCTAATTAAGGGGCATTGATATCCTATACCTATGAGGGACTCATATAGGATAGGTATATATAGGTTTGTATTAGGCTCGACGTTTAATGTGGTATTGAAAATGGCAGGAATATATTTTGCAATAATTCTGAGAGTTGAGCTTATGCTCTTTTACTCCAAAGCTATAAATTTTCCACAGACCAATTGCACTACGGCAGCGCTACTTTATATCATAAATGCTCACGATTGCTCGAACAAAATCGTGCAAGCAACACATTGCTTGTCATTCAGATAATATACGGTGACGGGTGAGACTTTCACTAACAAGCTCCGGTTAGATTCGTGATCAAGATTTGTCACACGCTGTCATAGAGTCGTCGATCTATGGAAGGAACTTTACTATCGTCTCAAAATGCTTAGATCACTATCGAAATAATTCTTTCGCCGATCATTTCACAGAACGATGATTCAGGAGTCTGTGAAAGGGTTATCATCCAATCCTCACATTTCATCATCAATGCCGTTTTCAAATGATTTCGTTCGTTTCAAATTGCTCGCCTGGAATGAAGAAGCAATGGGTATAATTATCTAAACGAGGCCCATTCTCCTGCATTTTAAATTGGAATCGTCACCAGGGACCGCGGATTCCGGGGGGCAGGGTGTGCAATTGCACACCCTGAAAATCCTGAGGGTGTGCAAACACCTATTTTTGCACACCCACAGTTCGGTGTGGGGGCCCATGCGGCCCTGGCGCTTGAGTGTCCCAAGCCGATTCTCGAGGACCCCAGCGCGAGCCTGACGGCCCCGCACCGGTGCCTGAAGGCGTGAACAGGTTCTAGTGTTATCTCAGGGGTTATCTCAGAACCCCACCCACGCCATTTTTTAGCGCTCCCACCGGCTCTTGAGGGCCCAGGCCGATGCCCGAAGGCCCCAAGTCGATGTCTAAAGGTCCCACGCCGGTGTCTGAGTACCTACATGGCTAGCTCAGGGATCCACGCCAGTTTCTGAGGGCCCTAACCGGCTCTTGAGGGCCCTGCCCCCTGCCCTCCTTAACCCCCTCTTGGGGCCGATGCCTAAGGGTCCTGCATCAGCACCTGAAAGCCCACAGAGTTATCTCAGGGCCCCATACCAGTTTCTGAAGGCCCTCACCGGCTCTTGAGGGGCTCCAGACCGATATCCAAGGACCTCTGGCCAATGCCCGGGGGCGCAGGCCGATGCCCGAGGGCCCCAAGCCGTTACCCGAGGGCCTTACACAGCTATCTCAGGGTATAATGCCACTTTCCGAGGGCCCTAACCGGCTCTTGAGGGCCCCAGGCCGATTCCTGAGATCCCCAGGCTGATGTGAGTGGGCCGACCGACTGAGGCGGCCCCTACGTCAGTTTCTAAGGGCGTCCACGACCGCCGTCTGGTCAAAGCTGATCTCTGAGGGCCCTACGCAGGTTTTTAAGTGCACTCAGCTCTTGTTTAGGATCTCACACCGGCCTCTGAGATCGGATGGCTTATGCATGCCGCAGAGGAGCCCTTACCGGCTCATGAGGGCTCCGTGCTGACAGTTGAGGGCCCCATGCCAATACTCGAGAGTCCCATTCAGTAATCTCAGCGCCCTACACCAGTTTGAGGAACGCCGTTCGGCCAAGGCTGACATCCGAGGAAAAGCCCTTTGCAAGCCTCGAAGTGTCCTCACTTTCTTTTTTAGGATCTCACACCAACCTCTGAAGTCGCAGGGCTAAAGGATGCTTCTGATAACCCTCACTAGCTCGGACCCAAATCGATGCATGATGACCCGACAGAAGTGCCTGAGTAGCCCACACAGTAATCTCAGGGCTCACACCAGTTTCTGAGGGCCTACCTACACGAGCGCTTTTTGGCCAAGGTCGATGTCTCGGGGCCCTATTCAGGCATCGAGGCTACTCGGGCGCCAAGAGACGGTGGGGGACCTCCAGGCGAGCTTGTTTGGTAGTACTTGGTACCCCATGGAGCCGGCGAACGGTGTCAAAGAGCCCGGTGTGGGGGCCCAAGAAGCGGCGTGGGCATCCATATTTCTATGTACATGAGGTATTCCAGAGGCCGTTATGGGACCTTCAAAGACCGTGTGCGGTGCGCCGGTGACCCTTAGAATTGCCGGTGTTGGGTCTCAGGAGCTGGCGTGCGGCCTTTATGGGCCCCAAAGCCAGCGTGTGGGCCGTAGAGCAATGGGGAAGCTAAGGGGGCCGGAGGCCAGACCCCCATAGGTCATAGGGGCCAAATCGATGGGCCCAAACATCCCGCCAGCCGTGTTTTATTTTTAAACTAATTCATGTAATCCATGATAAAAAAGAAGTGTGCCAACATCAACTGTGCAAAAGGGCTCTATGAGGCCCGTAGGGGCCCTTGAAGGTCACTGTAAGCCTTTAGGGGCCTGCTTGGGAAAATCGGAGATCGATTTGGATCACGTTGCATGCATGCATGTGCATTTACTCTGCTCATGCATGCATCTCCTGACCGTAAGATGCTCGCTCAGTCATCTTACGACCGTCAATTTTGAAGGCTTTCCCGCCCCGCTTCCTTAGAACCGGCTTATTCCGGAGCAGTGGCGGCGCTGACTTTTTGGAAGGGGCCCGGCGTGAGATGGGGGCCCAATCGCCGCATCTTGCACACCCTACGAGAATTTGAATCCGCGGTCCCTGATCGTCACGTTCGTTGTTAATTGCACCAGAGAAATGGTGCTCCAAGCACAAATCACACTTCAAATCCTAATTATCTCGGTGCATATTCTTGCATTGTTTACATGCCACATTCCCTAGGATAGCGTCGTGATGTTTTTCGCTACGTCTTCACTAACAAAAACGATGCATCGTGTGTAGGACTGTCCAATGTCAAATGTGCGCTGCTGACTTCTCACAAATAGTTTTAGGAAAGGCAACACGGGTGACTGAAAGAGCTTAAACCAAATCATTAATGCTCGTTGTTAATGATCATCGACGTTGAGCTGACATCTCTCGTCTCCTCGTTCCAGCCGCATCACAAGACAGCACGACCAGCTTCATAGGGAGTACGCTGCGGCCGCTCGGGGCGCCATCTTCTGCCAGCTGGGCAAGGTAAATTATAGATGTCGCCCCAGTCGGCAGCGGTGCCGTTGGAGGCCGATGGCTGGGGCGTTTCCTCCTACTGAGATAGCGTTCCGAATTCGTTGAAGAAGTGTCAATAAAATATAAATCTACCTGAATTGTCAGCGAATGATTGGTAGCAGTGAATGTTCTTGATTGAAATTGCATATTGCTGTTGAGTGTTATTGACAATGCAGTCTTATTGGGCCTCAGTTTTCATAGGACTTCAGAAAAATAAAACGTGTTCGAGGTGCGTGAACGTTCGCCTTCTAGCCAAAATATTCATGTGATGACGCTAAAGCCTGAAACAGACTCTTTCCGCAGTCAGGAAATCACATGCGAAAGCCTATTCCAATACATGGAAGCACGCTCGCATCAATCGCACGCACCTCCCGCAAGCGATTGATGCGAGAAGAATTATAATGTATTTGAATAGGCTCTCGCATGCGATTTCCTGAATGCGGAAAGAGTCTGTTTCAGCCTTAAGCTGGTAAAACCTCTGCTGAGCTTAGTCACGTGACGTAGCGTCTAGCCAGGTGGCGTCACCGATTGTTTTCTCTTTTCCAGGGAAACCGGAGCCAGCCGGCCATTGGACTCAAACACTCGCTGAAAAATAGGGTAAGCTAAGCTGCTTGTTTGGAGTTATGAACAGAAAAATGGTCGGATTTTTGCGTCATCAACCATGTAATAGTGGTTGTTAGGTGCTTTTAATTACCTCATGTTTATGGATGGTAGCATGTTTGCGGTTGTTGCTCGAGCTAACGTCATCCAGCCGCCTAGCCGACGTCTGAGTGTTTTAGGGTTTACGTCAGACGAGACAAAAGTTTTGTAGTTTCTTTCATGTTGGGTGACGAGATTAGTGCGATTAAATGCAGTGAGACTCGTCGTCTAAGCATAACATAACGCCTAGATTTAGAGCATAACCTAGAAATTTATACGTGTTTATAATGGTGTAACATGACCTTTTCGTTATAGGCCGTTTAACTTGGTTTATTGATTATATTGACTGATAAGGCGCTCTCTGTGTTCTGAGTTTCAGCCACATCAAGCAGGTAAGTCAAATTGTATCACACCAGCCCAGAACAACAAAAACAATGGGTTGTTATAAGCGATCCTTACAATGCCCTGTATTCATCCATATGACACAATACGACCATAAAATTCCCTTCATTACACCGTCAATAGCCAGAAATCGAGCGCTGCGCTATTCCATTCATTCAATCCATACCGAGCTATTGTTCTATGAACCTCGCCTCTTCTCTTTCATCACTCTCTCCCCTCTCTCCCCCTCTGTCATCGCTCGGCACGCGCTGACTGACCTCTACCCCGCCCTGTGACCTCCGCCTGACCTTTGACCTCACCGGCGTACACACGGCCGCACGGCTGACCTTACGTGACCCCGCCAAGACTTCCGTGAAGCTCGGGAGAGGCGTGGCACTCTCCTTCCGGTAGCTGTTTGTATCTTGTCATATTAGGTGCCAGTTCATTTGTCAGGAAAATTTTAATTTTTCGTCGTAATTTAAGACATTGCGAATGTTTTATAATTATAGGGGAAGTTGCGGTACAAAAATAAAAAGCAGTATTTTTATATAAAAAGAAACGATATCTTCTGGATGAGCAATGAACGCTAAACTTTATCCCAAAGTGAGATATGGCTACCAAAAGCTAAGCAAGCATCATCATTCATCATTCATCTTTCTGCAGTGGTATTCGAGCGCGACTCATCATAGCTCACACACTCAGCAGCTAGCTCATAACTCTTCATCCATTCCATTAAATCATTTTGATGACTTTTTATTAAAGTATAAGCCATTTTCCGTGCATTTCCATTCCATAAATGTTACTGCCACCAACAGACAACCCTATACTAAATGAAAACGGTGACTTGAGTAGATTGCGCTCGCTCACGATAATTTAATTGCCGATCACCACTTCTGTAGACGCCCATTCTCCGATATAAATGACTCATAAATTGTTTCGACAGTCGACGCTTTATACGGAAACGGTATTGGGGTCGAGACCACACAGTGGGACGCGCTATAGGTGTGATCGTTGTGGATGTGGGGTGAAATTTTTGTGGTTGACGTGATTCGTGGGATGGGAAAACAAAATGGCGGCGATCAAATGGGGATAGTAATGACCAGCGGTTGATGAAAAGGTGTTATTATGGTTACCGTTTTTCGGTTGTCACATTGGTAAGGTTGACATAACACGTCAATAAGAATTTGAGAAGGTAAAAGTCATGGCGCGAAAACAACATCTTTGTAAAGCCTGCTGAATGGCGACCTCTGTATCGGTAGTTTCCTTTGAAGCTTCCGGCCTCCAACCACGACATTTCTAAGCTTTCATATTTCCCATTCAATCTTCGATTCCATTCATCATTCGTGACCCGTTAGGTGGTATTCAGCTCCAAAACTGCGCTACCTGGCGCCGCGGGCGGTTCTCCGACCGTCATTTGAAGCTTCAGATCGACTTCCGTGCGCTGCCGGCCAAATTGGGCTTGTGACGTCATAGGCTAGCCGTCGTCGTGAGGGCCTGTAAGGAGTGTGATTGGAAACGGTTCACCTGTGACGTAGACGAAATAGGAATGCTGCGTCCTGTGGGCGAAATTGATTGCTGAATTGGAGAGTTATTTCGGAGGTATTTGACGAACCATTAGGTATGGCACAAACTAAAGTAATGCTGGAGGTAACTAATGTAAAATTCAGAATAGGCTAATCTCAGATAGATCGGCGATGCATCTCAGTTCCTTGTCACTAGGAACTGTTTTATGGGAAAAGGTAGTCCAAGGTCGGAATTCGGGAGCCGTCTCACGGTTCGGGGCTCCTCAATGGCTTCATTTTGAGTCGTTACACACATCCGGGCTAGATAGCTGAAGATAGATCTTCATGGACATCTTCAAGGCAACTGGACATTTTATTGAGTGAGGAAGCCGGTAGGTATGTTATCTCCAGCTATGTTACTTATTTGCAAAATTCAAACATAAACGGAAAACACAAGTTTTCTGTTATCAACAGTCACCGTTCAAGTTGATGTTTTGATTTTCAAAATTCAAGGCCAAAATCCAGCCATCCGCAATCGTGCCCTCCTCCCACCATGCTGTGACAATGTGGTTCTTTCATCCATGCTATGACGTCACCTCTCACCGAGCATGATTCATTATCACTACCCCCAAACCCCTCCCCTCCCTCTCTCCTCCCAGCACGTGCCACAGAAGCTCATCGGAGCGTTCATTCCCGTCTGCCCATTCCCCAGTTCCCAGCCTCAGCCACGCGGTGCGGCTCACGGCGTGGCTCGCAGGCACTTCCAGCTTCCTCGTTGGTTGGTGCGCAGGTGAATTTGCCCCCAGGGCAGCTCGGTTCGTCACGCTTAGCGCGCGCCACCCGCGCAGAGGCGTGCTCAGGGTTGGTGTCTGGGGAGGCGGAACGGTGAGTATTCCAGCTAATGGAACTGAAAGCCAAATAGGTAAGAGGGATGCAATAACCTCATCAGGTTAGTGAGGAGTGACGTAGTGGAGGTTATGACGTCACAAGTTTTATGCCTGACGTCGCCTCTGCGCGTACTTTTGGCTCCTGCCGGGCGGCGGCGGCGGCGGCGCGGCGGCGGCGGCGCGGAGCTCAGTGACCATACGAACGCGACGGGGGTGGAACGCAGCGCCATACGGTGGTGCATATACCGGTGTGGCGTACGGATATTGGTGCTGGTGCTCAGAACAACTGCGATACGTGGTGTCGAGACAGCTGAGGTGGTGTCAAAAGGTTGAGGAGTGTGTCGGAATCGGCGAAACGTGTTGGTGCGTGATTCAAGCCGGCAAAGAGAGAGAAACGGAGGGAAATAGTGGCGAGTTCCAGCGAGATATGAGTGAAACGTGGCGATCGTGCTAGTGAGCAACACTGATGTGTGGTGCCAATGAGTAACAGCGGTGCCAATTAAGCGACAGTGGTGCAAAGCAAGTGCTATTGGTGTCAGTTTCCGGTGGAGCCTAGCATTACCAACAGCAGGAGAGGAGTTGGAGCCCTGCTTCGGGATCGTGCTATCCTGAGGAGTCGTCAGGAGCCCAGGAGCTGTCAGGAGCACAGGACTCACGACCAGGTGAGTCCGCTTCTTGCGGTAATGGGGACGACGATGGGTCTGTATATGGGTAGTGTTTTGAATGTACGTATGTGTGTCGTGCTTGAGCTCCGTGTGACCTGTCTTTGTGCTGTGTTTTCAGGCGGTGTCTTACATGGTGTTTGAGTTATGTTTGAGCTGTGTTTTGGGCTGTATTGGATCGTGTTTTGGCGGTGTTCCGGCGCTGTTTTGTTTGATTCAACTGCGTTTGGGCTGCGTTTGTACGGGTGTTTGAGCCATGCAGTCGAAAATCGTGCTATTGATTTTACGGCCCATGTTCTGTGAGTGCGATGTGCGTACCTATGTGTAGGTTTGGTGATCGCCCTCCTTTACCATTTTGCTATGTTGTGATGGCAATTGGCACGCAATTGTTATACTTCTTTCAGCCTCCCTCATGCAGGTCTTGCCCACTCCAACGTTTATATGTATCTTCCTCTCCCACTCTTCCTTCCTCTTTCCACCCATTCCCTCCCTTTTACCCATGGGAGAAGTCTGAACAAATCCCTGACGACTGTTCCACTCGTGTGCTGTTCCATATACCGTTATTTAGCGGTGTCTTCTCTCCGGTTGAGCCAGCCGTAATCGCTCCAATTATGACGCGTTGAAGACGGGTTTTGAAGCGTCAGCCAGCTCTGGTTATGTGTGATCCAGTAAGCAAACTTCCAGTAAGCATTTTGAGCTCACACTGAAGAGAGGCTCATACATGGACTGGTGCACTGAATCCCCAGATAAACGCGAAATCACCATCTTGGAATCACCTTAGCCATTAACTAATTAGGTACCGTTGGTTTTTAAATCTCCGTTTACGATTTACTCTCATTCATATATCACCCTCAGATCACACATTTAGCAACGTAGTGTTATGAACTCCGTCTTACTCTCTCATAGTACGTTTTACTCACTTTACAACTCACTGGATGCATTTACATGCACGCTCAATATTTACCTTAAATGCTACCCAACCCTACTTTAACCCGCGCCCGGCTGGGGGTCCTGGATTTCCACGCCCTGCTGGGGGGGGGGGGGGGTGTTTGAACACCCCCCCCCCTTGTAACTCGGCTCCTGGGCCACGTAGCGATACGCGAAAGGCGGCGTTCGAAAGAGCGTCAAAAATAATGACGAAATTACTTCGGTCAATTTTTTGGTCAGGTCAAAGGTCAGGTCACCAGAGGTCATTGAAGGCAAAATTTCGCCGATTTCCAGGTCGAATGTCGAAAATTTCCAAGAAGCTAACGCATAACTCGGGAACCAATAGAGCTACAGCGCCGCGGAAAAGTGCATTCGATAGCCCTATTAACGCCCTTCTGAGTAATTCTCTCAGATTTGACCTAACGTCAACGGTTTTGCCTGCAGGGGGCAAAAACTGCAAAAATAGCCGATTTTTTCGGAAACAGTTTTTCTGCAATAACTTTTGACCCAAGCCTTGTACGAGCTTACTTTTACCGGCATCGTGTTCCTCTCGTCAAGACGCATCGAATGAACTATAACTTGACCTTGAAAGGTCAACT